GAATGAAAGGAAGCAATTTCCGATTCGTGTGAATCCCATATTTCATTGGTGCTTCTGTGATGGTCAAATTTCTCTCATGAACTGTCTCCAACGCTGTTCTGAGAGCAACGCCTTCAACGAGAAACAGCTCGAAAGCCTTCTCAACGTCGTCAGCATCTCGAAAGACATCTGCATGAAGTTTGGACTCGACAAGTGTGCGAAGCTCTCTATCCACCGCGGAGTCCTCACCCCTATGGGAGATATCACCACCACCAACGACGAACAACTCTGAGAGCTTACAGCCCCTGACACCTATAAGTACCTCGGTGTGGAAGAGAACTCTTTCGTGGCTGTCAAGCGCACGAAGCAAAGACTGACGACTGAATACAAACGCAGAGTCCGCCTCGTACTAAAGACCGAGCTGTCCGGCAAAAACAAGATCTCTGCCCTCAACAGCCTTGCCAGGGGTGGCAAGGCTGTCCTTAACTACAGCTTTGGAGTTATCGATTGGTCACCTATGGAACTCCAAGCCATCGATCGAGTGACCAGAAAACTCCTGACCATGCATCACACCCACCATCCGAAGGCTGCCGTTGAAAGACTCTACTTTCCGAGATGCAAGGGAGGGAGGGGACTGATCGAACTCGAGTCCCTCCATAAGCGGACGACGTGCGAAGTCGTCAGATTCATCGAAAGGAAGCAGGGAAGACTCATTTCCATCCTGAGAGAGCGAAATGCCCTGAAGAAGTCCCACTCCATCCAGGGAGATGCCACCCGCTTCCGAAATGTACTCCATCTCCATGACGACTGGGACACGACGGATGTGAAGACGGCAGATCAAGGACAAAGAGAAGCACGATGGAATGTGCGAAGTCGCCAGATTCATCGAAAGGAAGCAGGGAAGACTCATTTCCATCCTAAGAGAGCGAGTTGCCCTGAAGAAGTCCTACTCCATCCAGGGAGATGCCACCCGCTTCCGAAACGCACTCCATCTCCATGACGACTGCGACACGACGGATGTGAAGAAGGCAGATCAAGGACAAAGAGAAGCACGATGGAAGGAGAAACCGCTTCACGGTCAGCATCTCAAGATCGTGGATAAACCATCGATCTTAGAAACCCACACAGGCATGACTTGAAGAATGCCAAACCTCATTCACCTAAGATTTTTGGATTTCACTAAGACATAGATAAGAAACTGGCATATGCCATTTCATATCATCTCAGTCTCACCAAGTTCTAAATTTTCAGCATAAATTTGGATTTTTGGTATGAGTACCATTTCATTTCCTACATATTTCTGAAATCAATATGCAAGTTATTTAAACATGGGAGTTCTTGATAGACTCTTAGACCCAAATGCTGAAACCTCCTTTAGTTAACAGTCCTTTAAGAGTGCATGGATTCCTATGGGAGAAAAAGAGCTCTTTAGCTTAAAGGCCCCTTTATCTCCCCTAAATGAGGTTTGTGCATTCAGGCCCTATTGTCTATCCTTGTACAGTTTGGTATAATACATGCCACTTTTCCTCAGTTAATGCTTATTGATCATCTTCAATAATTTATCTTATCTCTTAATAAACATTTGCATCTCTTGGGGGAAGGATTACAATTCCTCTATGCCAAAATGAGCACTGTGTGAAGGAAGAAAGAAATGACAAACCAATGGGAATGCCAAGGATATCAGCTTGAAGTTGCATAAGGAGGTTGTTGTGGGTCATGCCACCATTGGCCCAGAGGTGTGGCAGTTGAATCCCACTGTCTTTCTTCATCACCTCCATGATGTCTCGAGTTTGAAAGCAAACAGCTTCCAATGCCGCTCTTGCTATGTGCCCTTTTGTTGTGTACTGCGTCATGCCACAGATGATCCTATGGATCCCACAACAACATACAACTGGTGTTGAATTTTTTTAAATAGTGAATGTTGTGTCTTTATTCTGCTCCCAACTTTCATGTTTATGTAAAAACTGAAATGCCAAAAAATTCAAACTACAACAGTATAGCATAAATTAAAGGGCAGGCAAAAATTTTTTATCTTCTTTCAATTGACACATCCATGCTAATCCCTTTTGTGCAAGGTATCCACTGTAGTGGACAACAAAATTTTGGTGATGATGATGGCATTTTGGCCATGGTACACATAACTCAAAGCTTTTGGTGTATGCATTCAACTCAGGGGCACATAATCTATTAAGTGTTGCTTTCTAGTGGTGGAACATTGGACTACTACAGCAGAGTGCCTCCTTAAACGTTAGACCAAAAAAGGTATATTTTTGTTTTGCCTTCAAATTTCTTGCATGAAATTTGCATGAAATAAGATGCATGCATACAATTTTAAGGATCAATAATACCATTCTTACTTAATCTATAACACTTATTTTAAGAAAAAGGAAAAATTATTTCTATGCAATAATTTCTTATATGGTACAAGGTTGGAAATCTCAGTCATGCAGCGACAGAAGAGGATGCATTCAAGGTTGAACATTTCAATCCTAACTTGATTTGGAGTTCTTGCTGCCTATGTTTTTGAATACTTTTTTTTGGAAGGAATAATAAATTAAGGATGTTCATCCTAGTTTGCTCGTGCAACAATTCTTGCGCAACTGTATTTTTATACTTCACACTAAAAAATTTTGTGGAAGAACAACATGTTGCATTTCCATGAAATAAAGTGTAGCTATTTGGAAAGAGTGGCATGCATGACTTGCTGGATTGCCTGAATGTGTCTTAATTGGTAAGGATGTAGGAGCCAAAATGAAAAAGATTAAAAATTTTTTTTTTAGGCCTACTTTGTAAAATATTAAAACGAAGAAGAGCAGCCTATTTTAAAATCAAACAGAATGGACTGAAATGGTGCAACTCAGAAATAGTGGAGAGGAAAAAGTGAAAAGAGACTGACCCACGTGCATCCATCCTCCAATGAGGAGCAAAAAGACCAGAGAAGGCAGGAACAAAGTAGCAGCCACCATTATCAAGGACACTGTTAGCTAAGTCTTCCACTTCGGAAGAAGTCTTGACAATGCCTAAGTTATCTCTCAACCACTTGACTGCAGCTCCTGCCACTGCTATGGACCCTTCCAGGGCATAAACAGGCTTCTGTCTCCCAATCTGGTAGGCAACTGTTGTCAGGAGGCCATGTTCTGATATCACAACCTGAAACAGAATTAACTCAAGAGTCAGGTAAAAGGCCTCTTGGTTCTGGCTGATTTGAAGTAGTCTCAGTCCATGAGTAGGTCTAGGAACACACCTTAGTACCAGTGTTAGAAAGCAGAAAGCACCCTGTCCCATATGTATTCTTTGTATCTCCTTCCTTCAAGCAGTTTTGCCCAACTAGAGATCCTTGTTGATCTCCGATGCACTGAAAGATTCACATTTAAACATGTAGTAATAAGAAATACAAAGGTACAGAGAAAAAAAAAGAACACAGCAATATTCAAAGCTTTTGGTATTATTCAAGTTCCAATTCAAAATCCTTAGGCACTTAGAAAGAAGAAATTTCTAGCTCTCTTTTGTTAAATACCAAAAGAAAATTGACATTTGAAGCAAAATATGGGAGACTGAACATGAGGCTAAAATAAATTTAATCATCATAATGTTCCTTCTGCAATGATTTTTGAGACATTTATGCATTTTTATTGATGAAAGCACCAAAATCTGGTTCGCTATTATGACAGTTTCTCTTGTGTCAATTTTGCCTGTCATTATCTTGCTTCATAACTGGTCAATTTTCAAAATATTTACACTAAGAAAAGCATATTCACTTATTTTTTGAACTAAGTAATTTCAGCTTGATATAAAACAAGAAAAAGCAATTCTTGAGATAGTAAATTTTTTGAGACACCAGGGGACCTTGTAAATAATCATGAGATAGCCCAAATGTTGGGGTGTGAGATTTAGTGCTTTTTTTTTTTTACTCTGCAAGAATTGACAGAATTAGGAAGAGAAATACAGGTTGGTTATTACATTCCCAAAATTATGTGCTGAAGCTGATACATGGTATTTTCAGAAAGCCATACTGTAACACCAATCATGCACAATTTTTATTAGCAAGTTAAACATTCATGAAAAAATTATGCCATTACTGAAGATAAGAAAGCATGCTAAATGAATAATAACACAAAACCTCTCCGTCACTGAATGATAATAATAAAATTCACTGACATGATAATTTTTTCTTCATCTTAGTCCATATTCTGCTCAAATGCTTTTCTATATTTTCAGTTACATATGAAATCTTGACATGGTGAACATTTTTCCATCCAAGATTGGGTAAATATTATGCATTAACATCAAGGTTCTCCCATTTTTATTTTACTCACATTGTAGCAAAAATAATTCGATTGCACCTGGAAATTTCAGATAGAAGTACAGTCATCACAGTTAAAACATGGTAGATTTGGTGATCTTGACAGGCAGAATGAGTATGCCCAATTAGGGTTTATGCCTGGATGCAAAAAAGAGCTATGAGAATGGGAAGTTGCACAGAAAAGGGCCATTTTTGCAATATGATTAATACTACAAGGCATAATAATACTAAGGATGTTCAATTCCACTGGCCTACTAAGGTATGAAAACATGTGAATGAGAAGAAAGAAGCTCACCCCAGAAATAGGAACTCCCCTCAATGGTCCTTCAGCCAAGTAACCATATATTTCTGAACTGCTCCGTACTTTGGGGAGCATCTTCTCATTGACATGGAAAAACCTGGTAATAGCCAAAAAAAAAACCAAACCAAAAGGATTTCCAGTGATTGGAAAGGAAAATATTGATATATGTTGGAAAACAATTATTATGTAAGAAACACTTCATGGGGTATAAAGGAAGACCCAGGTGAGTCACATTGAAACACCAGTGGCTCTCATAGTAAAAAATATATTGATCGGTATATAAGATTTTTTTTTACATTTCTGGTGGAATATAAATACCTGTGCCCTAGCTCAAAATAATTAAATACTGAGACTTAATATAGTATTTCAAAGAATATATTAACAAATATGACACATAAATGACACTCCTTGAAGTAGTTATCAGCTAATTAGAAGGCATTCTGAAGCTGAATAAAGAAGAGCAAGAGTAGTCATGATTTATTGCTAGTGTATCTAATAGATCAAGATTTAGTAATGAAGGAACACTAACGAAGCACTAAGGAAGTGATGTGATGAATGAGTATGAAGGAGAATGCATAAAGTGGGTCAAATGATTCCTCATGAAATACCTAGGTATATACTTTCCAAAGGTCTTGTCAAGTCATAAAATTTCTTTGCTGGCACAAATTATTATTGGACACCATATGATGCATATACAGGGTCTCCAAAAAAGGACAATATTTTGCATATATGACTTAGTATTTAGGTTAAGGCTTCAAAAATTGCACAATTATATAGTTGCACCTCTGAAGTTTTTTTTCTGAACTTCTATATAATTTACAGGATGGCATAATCTACAGTTCAACTTGTGTTTATTATGAAGCATTATTTCTATAGTGTTATGAAAGTGCAATGTGCTTTTCAAGCAGAATTTAGTAAGGGAAGCCTCAAGCAGATCTGCTATAAAGAGACTCAAAGTAATTTGAAGATACTGGAGATATGAAAGACAATATGAAGGGTCATGCTAGCAGAAAATATACCATTAGGATGCCAGGAGAATGTCTTCAAAGCATCCTTCTTAAACGCATTCATTCAAACATATTTTCATGGAAACACATTGAGCAAGTGTTTGCATGAAAAAATGTCAAACTTCTGTGAAAATAATGTCATAGATCTTTGTATGTCAAATACTTTGTAATATATCAATTAAACTAAATATGGCATCTTTTTTTGGAGACCCTGTAAAATGGTGATTCAACAAAAAGAGAAAACGATTTTAGTTTGACAGAGTTCAACTACAGGTGCAGGATGTATAAGCCCATTAGAATCATCAGTTCTCTTATAGAATTTTACACTTTGGGAGGAATACAAACATGAAGGTTCTCACTTGCATAGATCAGAATCCCATTGCAGAGAGTTGATGTTGAGAAGCAGTGTCCGAGAAGCATTGGTCACATCTGTTATATGCACTCCCTTGCCTACCCCTCCTGTAAGATTCTAGGAGCACATATTCATAGAAGATTTTACCAGAGGTAGTGCAGGGAAATTAAAATCAGTGTCTTGTAAACATTCCCAATCTTTCATCAATAATACTACACATTTTGCATGCAATGTGACAGACTTAGAAATATTCATTTTTCAGAAATCATGGTATGACTGATTTTGCAAAAAAAAGGAGATATTCTTCAAAATTGAGCTGTCATTTACAAATGAATGCAGCCTAAATTTCCAAAATAAGACTCACCCAGATCAACCAGCTGTCCACTGTACCAAAGAGGCAGGTACCTTTCTTCACTGCATCTTTCACATCCTGAGAGTTCTCCAGAAGCCACAGCATCTTCAAGGCACTGAAATATGTGTTGATTGGAAGGCCAGTTCTCTGGCGCCAATGATATTTGTCCTTGGCTGGAGTCTTCATGATCAAGGAATCCACCAAGGAATCAGTACGAGTGTCTGACCACACTGGAATGTTGAAATAATGCTCCATTTATTTAAAAATACTTCTCATTTTCCTTGAAGTTCATATGGAGACAAACATAAAGATTATAGAAATATCACATTTTTAGAGTGATTAAAATTTGTTGACAGCTGAAAATGTAACATACATGACAGAGCTGAGTTATGACTGAATAAAATCGTGCACACAATCATTACTGGCATGACGGGAGGCATCAATAACAATGACATAAGTATGCGAGGCTTTCATTTTCCTCTTTCCCATTTCTAATAATCATTTAAGTGATTATATATGGGTCTCAAGCAGAGAAAGAGTATGCATCTGGTGTGAAAAGATATTCCATTTCTGAAGACCAATGCGTAGTCAAGAGAATGAGAAAAACCCTGTACTTCCTCCACTCTTGACTGCCCAGGTTTTTCTGACTGTCAGAGGTATCTCCAGAAACAACTTGGGGTCTGCAGGATTGGGCCAAAGACTGAATTTTGATTTTCTCTGGAGACAGCTTTTCCACATGAGAAGGATTTATCCTTGAATTTGCAGGAAAGATTGTGGGGTCATTCCACATCATATCAACGCAAAAAAAATTGACCTGACCCCCTCAGATTTCCATGAAATTTGCTGAGCTTGTAAATGCTATTGAAAAGCCATGCCATGCTAATTGCTTCTCTCTACATTGAGTACTTTCAGAGATGTAGCAATTTGAAAGTAGCAAAAAGTAACCAATTTTGGGTCAGGTCATCATCACTTAAATGCTCATAAGTTTTGTTCTAATCAGCATAGAAAGATGATATTGGTGTCATTTCAAAGGTCTCTTCATGCCCTTTTTAATGATTTGAGACTCAAAGACTTTCAATGAAAATAAAGGTCAAAGGGTCTGACCATTGACCTTTAAATCCAGAAAAGGTCCTTTTTACTTCCTTTGAAAAATTACAGTAACGTTCTCAATTTCTCCTGCATTAGTGCTCAAAATTTCAACTTGGGATTCCCATGGTATCAGGAGATACAAACAATAATGTGGCAGCAAGTGACCAAATATTTAAAGAGAATGTACTAGAAATTTCTGGATTCATCCAGTTTGAGCAAAATTTAGTCAGAAATGAGCTATCAGGAATATTCTAGAAAGTTATTAAAGTGTTTGAAGTTTCCAGAAAAAATAGTGCAATGTTCTGGAAAGTTTTAGAGGTATCCAAAAGTTCCAGGATCTTACCAGAAATTTCTAGAAATTGCACATTCCTTATGTACAGACTCCCTCAGCCCTTTTTTTTTTTTTTTTTTTTTTCTTTCTTACAGGAGGGGTAGGCAAGGGAGTGCATATAACAGATGTGACCAATGCTTCTCGGACACTGCTTCTCAACATCAACTCTCTGCAATGGGATTCTGATCTATGCAAGTGAGAACCTTCATGTTTGGGTATCAATTTCTCAGTTATTATGCACCACCTTGGGATGTAAGGTGTTATTTGTTCTCATCATCCCAGATTGGGAAACGAGAGAGATGGATGAAACACAGTAGACGATTTCCTGTTGCAACCCATTTGGCAAAGTAAAATATTCATTTAAGAAGAATCTGAGGCCAGTTTTTCATGGCTATGTACCAAATTCCCTTCTCTTCAACTTGGAGTCAAGATATGTGATGATTGCAGGAATAAAATTTCCTGCATATTGGTGTTACCAGGAACTGAGTAACCTGGGTCGAGCCCATCATACATGTCAAGTCAGTGAGAGCCTAGTCCAAGGAGTTATACTAACATGGCTGATGACAAGGTCTCCTATGAGCAAAATAGGATGCTAGAATTCATCAAAGTTTGCACTCCATTGGAGAGTCTCCTATTGTCAAGAGGAAGCTTACACAAGCCAATTATCCAGAGGAGAAGTTGAAGAAGATTGAGGATGTTCTGAAGAGGAAGTTACTTAATGTGGAATCAGATGACAGTGGTGATGATCAAAAGCTGGCAGAAAAAAGATAACATTAACCAACTGAAAGAAATATTCCGAGCATCCACAGAGAGAAGTGAGAAGGTACAAGTTCAGACATTACTTTCACAAAGGTGGAGCATTCAGAAAATCCAACCTGAGTTCAGCACATCTAATTTCATGATGCACAAAGCAAAAGAACTTGTGAAGCAGAAGGGAATCATGTCCATGCCAAATCCTAAACCAGGAAAATCAATCCCAATTGAAACAGTTGATGTCAGGAACTACTACAGAAGTGACAAAGTGAGTCAGCTCATGCCTGCAAGAAAGATATAATTTCTGTGAAATTGGTTGGAAAATGAAATCACTTTCAGATGAGGCTAGCCTTGAGCAATTTGAGAAAAGAGTATCAACTGTTCAATGATAGGTTCCCCACTTAAGTGACTGGCTTCTCTGAAGTCACTTAACTTTGTCCAAAGCACTGCGTCTTAGCTGGAGCTTGTGTATGCATGCAGTATGCATCTGCATAGTCCATCAAAACATGAAGCTGATTATGTTGGGCAGAAAGATTGCTGATCTGATCTGGGTATTTTTGCTTTTAGACAATTATATAGGGATTTTCATGTACCTGCTATCACTCTATTTAGTCCTGATACCATGGGAGTCCCAAGATTAAATTTTGAGCACTAAGGCAGAAGAAAGTGAGAATGTTATTGTAATTTTTCAAAGGAAATAAAAAGGACTTTTCTGGATTTAAAAGTCAAAGGTCAAACCCTTTGACATTTATTTTCATTGAAAGTCCTTGAGTCACACATTATTAAAAAGGGCATGAAGAGACCTTTGAATCGTCAAATATATCAACTTTCTATGCTGATTAGAATAAAACTTATGAGCACTTTGTGGGTACCCATGGCATGACAAGGGGGGCTTCAGGCCCCCCCAACTCTAGTTGAAATGCATTTGCCACCCCCTCAAAGAAGATATGGAAATTCTGCACCCTTGGCAGCTAGTGGACACATAGATTATTGGGCTGGTCATGTGAGCTTCATTTTTATCTGGGAATACAATTTCCAGTTAGTTTTTCCCAAGTCTCTTTCAGGTTGTAGTACAATTGTAGAAGTATTGTAGTACAGGGGGGAGAAAAAGGTTCTGTCCCACCCCATATATGAGAGATGCAGCCTTGCAATGAGGAGTAATAGGCTGTCTTGGAAGAGAGGAAGAGAGAAAGTCTAGACTATCACTAAAGGAGGCTGGCTCCTCAGAGCTTCTAGCTTCTCAAGTAACAACTTAAAATCAATTTGCCATTCCACAGCAAATGCCTTGTAATTACATAAAATCTCTATTTTAATACAAAGTGCTTGTCAGGACCTATCAAATGATATATAACCATCATTTAAAAATGCAGCTCTGCCTGCTGCTGTATCAGCAGCAACTATGTTCTATTGCTGACACAAAAGCACTCTTGCGGTAGGTGTTGTGATTGAAAACATGCCCTATATATCCAAAACATTTATCCAGCAGAATATGAGGTAGTACAACTCTTGCTAAGTAACCAACATGAGAGTAGGGCAAAAATTAGTTTTTTTTTTAAATCTTACCAATGGCTTTAAATAGTGGCTTCCCAGTCTGTGAATCCCATGCAATGGTTGTCTCACGCTGGTTGGTAATGCCAATGGTTATGATGTCACAGGGGTCAATGTCAAGCCTGTGAAGATTTTCAACAGTTTTTTCAATGCAAGACTGAACAGACTGGAAGATTTCCATGGGATCCTGTTCCACCCATCCCTCATGAGGGAAGCTGCATCCTATTTCCACTTGATAATAAGTCAGCAGTTCCCCTCCATTTGCCTTGAATACCTGTTGAGAAGGAGTCAGTCATGCTTATCATATGTGAAAGTCTCTCTTAAAGGTATCACTGCAAAAGGGCCTGAAATTCCAAGCATCATTCCTTTGCACATGGAAATGAAAAGGAACATGAAAAAGTACATTTCTTTATGTACATATGCATATATGGGTCAAGCTGCACCACAAGCTGATGGCAGGGTCATGCCCCTGACGAGACTCCTGCATGGCTTGGGGGCACTTCAGGTTAATTTAGCTTTTTTTCTCTCTTTTTTGTGGCTTCTTCGCAGTTCTTCAGTTGCTTCAGTCCACTAAGGACTCTGCAGATGGACATCCTATGTTTATACCTCCATATATATATAACAACGTGATGTCCCGCATTGGCCATATGAATAGGAATGAAGGAGGGTGCACCTGATAGCCAACTAAAATGAAAGATGTATTTTCGTCCCAACGTTTCGGTACAAGGACCTTCCTCAGGGGACTAGGTGTGAGCCCGATTGTTCGACTGAAAGAAGGGGTACAGGGAAAGAAATCCGATGTCACGGTTTAAACCCGATCGATGTGTGTCTTCCCTTATAATCCACTTCAGTTCCGCCAGCCTCCTCTCCTTAGTAGTATTGGCTAAATATTCAATATCTTTCAAATATATATATATGCATACATAGGGAAGTTTATGCCGCCTGTTTGTGGAGTTCAGGGCATGCCTTATAGCTCACTGGGTTACATATTTGGAAGGATGAAACCTATCCCTGGTGTGTTTCCTTGCAGATATGCAACCCAGTGGGCCTTGTAGCGTGTGCCAAACTCCACCTACAGGCGGCAAAATATTCTCTATGTTGCATTTAAATACAAGCACCCTGTATATAAATATATATATATAAAATAAATCCTTCCACGGCACCTGCCGGTATTGGAGATATGAGGGGGGATGAACCACATCCCAGACCTCATACTCGTCTTAATTCTGAAGGACACGGCGAAGGATGCTGGCCGTGCCCAGGATTGCTGTACGCTGGAGGATATCCAGTGATATTTCACACTCCAGCTTCTTGACATGTCCTTTGAGGTCTTTCAGGACAACGCCAGTTGTGCCTATGATGATCGGAACTATGGTGGTCTTCATTCCGCACAACTGTTCCACTTCCACTTTCAGTTCGGAGTATTTCTCCAGCTTCTCCCTGGTCTTCTCTTGGAGGTTGTTATCGGCTGGGATGCTCACATCTACGAGGAGGGCAGTCTTCTTCTCCTTCTTATAGATCGTAAGGTCCGGCCTATACTGCGATCTGTAATTATAGGCATGTCCCATAGTATCTTGGTGGAGGCGTTCTCCACAACAGACTCTGGCTGGTGTTCGTACCACTTCTCTGGGACTTCCAGGCCGGCTTGCTTTGAGACACACCAGTGCACATATTTGCACACTTGGTCGTGCCTATACAAGTACTCCCTCGGGGCTAGTTCGGGGCAGGCACTGAGGAGGTGGTGAACCGTTTCGGGTGGTCCATGACAGCATCTGCAGCGGTCTTCCACATCCAGCTTCAGGATGTGCTTCTCGTAGTTACGAGTTCTAATGCACTGGTCCTGAATGGCTAGGATGTTGCTCTCTGTCTCGGCATTCAGCAGTCCCTTCTTCAGCCAGTTATAGCTGACGTCCGAGTCGATCGATGGTTTATCCATGATCTTGGGATGCTGGCCGTGAAGCGGTTTCTCCTTCCATCGTGCTTCTCTTTGTCCTTGGTCTGCCGTCTTCACATCCGTCGTGTCGCAGTCGTCATCGAGATGGAGTGCATTTCGGAAGCGGGTGGCATCTCCCTGGATGGAGTGGGATTTCTTGAGGGCATCGCGCTCTCTCAGGATGGAAATGAGCCGTCCCTGTTTTCTTTCGATGAATCTGGCGACTTCGCACGTCGTCCGCTTGTAGAGGGACTCGAGTTCGATGAGTCCCCTCCCTCCCTTGCATCTCGGAAGGTAGAGTCTTTCGACGGCAGCCTTCGGATGGTGGGTGTGATGCATGGTCAGGAGTTTTCTGGTCGCTCGGTCGATGGCTTGGAGTTCCGTAGGTGACCAATCGATAACTCCGAAGCTGTAGTTAAGGACAGGGGTGGCAAGGCTGTTGAGGGCAGAGATCTTGTTTTTGCCGGACAGCTCGGTCTTTAGTACGAGGCGGACTCTGCGTTTGTATTCTGTCGTCAGTCTCTGCTTCGTGCGTTTGACAGCCACGGAAGAGTTCTCTTCCACACCGAGGTACTTATAGGTGTCAGGGGCTGTAAGCTCTCGGAGTTGTTCGTCGTTGGTGGTGGTGATATCTCCCATTGGGGTGAGGACTCCGCGGTGGATAGAGAGCTTTGCGCACTTGTCGAGTCCGAACTTCATGCAGATGTCTTTCGAGAAGATGCTGACGACGTTGAGAAGGCTTTCGAGTTGTTTCTCGTTGGAGGCGTAGAGTTTCAGGTCGTCCATGTAGAGAAGGTGGTTCATGCGATGGTCTGCATTCTTCCCCTTTCCTACGTAATAACCACAGTCAGTCCGAGCTAGCTCAGTACTGAGAGGGTTGAGAGCCAGACAGAAGAGTAGAGGAGATAGCGTGTCTCCCTGGAAGATCCCGCGTCTGATGGAAATCTCGCGCGTTGTCAGAGTGGAGTCCTGTCCCTTGAGGGACATGACCGTCTTACAGTGGGGCATGGTCTGTTCTAGGAAGTCGACCACCACAGGGTTGATGTTGTACATCCTGAGGCACTCGATGATCCATGAATGGGGCCCATTATTGCATTTTCTTTCAGGATGACTTACATCCAACACAAGTAAAACATTCAGTATCAACGACAAGACTCTCTTTCATTGAGTAACATCAATTCAGGCTTCCCTTTGGTAAATAACACTTCTAGAGGAGGCATAAATAGAAAAATTATGGCAATTTCAAAACAAATCCACCAAGATGATCCCCTTACTTCTTGAAGCCTCATTTGAAATCCCTGGGTAACAAACTGAAGCACAACTGCAGGGATGCTGCCAACTTCACAGTGAATGTTCCGCTTCAGTTGACTGCAATCCTATGGTTTCAGGTCTGAAAAAACACATTGCTTCAGGTAACCCCACAGGAAAAAGTCCAGGGGACAGGTCCAGTGATTGAGGAGGCCATAGATTGGAAGTGCGGTTGGAGATGATGCAATGATGAGAGTAGTCTTGCAGGAGGTTTAGTGTATGCTTTGCTGTATGAGGAGGAGCACCATCGTGTTGAAACCAGAGGTTTGTGAGATCAAGTTGTCCTGCCTGGTCCAAGTTCTGAAGTGCTGGAAAGTAAAACTGCAGCAGCATATCCTGGTACCTCTTCAAAGTCACAGCATCTGTGAAGTCACAGTAACAGTCTGGCCTTGCTGATTTTCAGAAAGTACAGGCCAGTGATGCCAGAGCTCTCCAGTGCACACCAGTCTTCTTTGGCATTCCTTGAATACTCCTGCACAACATGTGGATTCTGTTCATCATAAAATCTAGTATTTGGACAATTCACATGTCCAGATAGCAGAAAGTGTGCTTCATCACTGAAGTGAATGTTTTCCTAGTAAAGTTGGCTGATGCAAAAGTTGCTGGAGCATTTAGTTAGTGAACTGCAGCCTCTGTTGCCTGTGTAGTGGTGTGTGCATTTTTTTTTTACTGAGATCTTATATGAATGTAGGTGAAGCTCTTGCTTCAGAATGCGATGGGCATGTGTTTGATTTGAGGATGTTGCTATGCAATTTTCCTAGTAGACAGCAATTGGTCTTGCTGGATAGCTTGTTGACCTGTTGCAATGTTCGTCAATGATCTCCTGGTCTTAGTTTGTCCACTTCTGACTGTGTTATTGTGCTGCGTGTTGACAGAGAGGTCCCTGGATAGACAGTTTTAAAATTTCTCAACACCAATCTGACACTCTTTGTCTTATACTAGCATGAAATAATATCTACTGCTGTGGTAACAGGGGGGCATCTGATTAACAAGAACTAAGCATAGGACTTGAACCAATTGCTTGAGGAGAAGGTGGCATGCAGCAGGAAATTGAATCCAATTGCTAGTGTATATTGTCTAGAGTGAAAGGGAATAGGTCAACAGAGAAAAGCTAAGCATTTTCCAACGAGTAAATCCTCCCAGCACAGCTCACATGATACATTGTGTAATTGCATTTCTCCATTTAAAAAAGAGTGGAGCATTGTATATGCAGGGTGTTAAGAAAGTTGTGTCCCACTGCAATATGGCAATAACCTCAGCAAAAATGTAAAAATCAGGAAATTTTTTAAATACACAATAACAAGGACAGTTAACTGATTTAGAATCACTCAATAGTTTTAAATATAGCCACCCCTGGCACAGATGACAAGATTCAGACCACCCATGAAAGCATTGACTGATTTTCGCAAGACTTCCTGTGGAATTCGCTCCGATTCTCGGTTCAGGGATAGCTTGAGAGAATCCAAAGAACAGTGCTTTGTAGCACAAACTTTGCTCTCCAAGATGGACCAAATGGAAAAATTTAGGGTGTTCACATTGAGAAGTAAGGGGGCCATTGTGAAGTCAAAATGAAGTCAGGGACATTCATCCGCAGTCACTCCTGGGTCATCTGCACCTTGTGAGCTGGCCCTGAGTCCTGCTGGAAGACCAAGCTGCCTCCATTGAAATATTTTGTGGCCCACAGAACCAGGCATTCTTCCATGATGCTTTTCCGGTAAACATCAGCGTTGACCTTCATCTTCTCAGGCTCAAAAACAAGCGGAGTGTGGTATTCCTGGCCCAGACCATTACAGAAGCCTTGATGCCGAGTGGCTTGAAAAAAATCAATTTCTATTTTTCAATTTGGTCCATCTTGGAGAGCAAAAAATAAGCTACAAAACGCCATTCTTCGATTCCCTTGAAAGGATTCTTCAGAGATTCCCTTGAAAAACAATCTGGGTCAGCCGAGATGCTGCGAGTGATGACTAGGCTAGGGGTCTGCTGTGGATGGACATCCTATGTTCATACTTTCATATATGTATATTATGTACAGGGTGTCTCAAAAAAATGTATATGCACTTTAATAATAACAAAAAAATATATGGTAAGTAATTCAGAGAGGCACAATGTTCAGTGTGTGGAGAAGCGAGGGTTTGAATTGCATGGTTCACTACCACAGATGTTCAAATTGTTCACCATTTTATGTTCACCATCTAATAGTGCCTGGATGCTGAGTCTGGATTTCTTGGAGAGAAATTCCCTATACTATGCTGCATTTACTAGGGATTATAGCTCAAGAAACTGAGTTAAACCATTAAATAGCAACATCCATAACTCTAAGCCTGAGATGCCATCATTCTCCCAGAAGACATGACATGTCATTTCAAAAATGATAAAAGTACACTCCAAGAATCATCTTTGAAAAAAAAGCAATAGAAAATTATATGAACTTACAAGGAAACGAGAGCTGCTTGTTCCTTGATCGATGGCACCAATGAGGGGACCATGTTTTCGCTTGTCATTTCCACTCATTGCCTAAGACTCACTGGTCACACTGCAAAGTAACTGCCTATTGATAATTTTCATGAGAACATGTCCTGACTCAGGGCTCTCACCTAAACATGTATTTCAGTGGAAACTATTGTGATATCACGAAATAAAATAAATATCAACACTGTATATACAAGACTCAACTAATTGAGTAGATGCCTGAATAGGCATTGTCACTACTATAATTTCAAATCTTTTGCATGTGTTCGAAATTACAATGCAAAAGAAGCAAAAATTGATTCTGCAAGAGTTTACATCAGAAGTAACATAACCATCTTAAATGAGACAACTGCATTTCATGGAAAACACAAAAGGCATTAATGAAGAAGTCTTGTTCCCATGAGAGACACAATCAAATTGTGCAAAACAAATGTAGGTGAATATTGAATTTAAATTGGCTAAAATAAACATCATTTCCACCTTCATGCCTTCCACCTTGTGATGGAATTCTCATGGATGTTGTCGACAATACAATTGCTGGGGCTCAGAAACACCTGGAAATCAGCAGTCAATACAATGAGCCAATTTATCAAGTAAATTCCTAATTTTTATGATTTTGAATTCTCAAAATACTCTATTATTATTCAATTATTACCATGATAACTTCAAAAAGTTGTTACAATGAGGTCAAACAGCAAAAAATGTCCAATTCATTGTCTAAACTTCCTCTTCATTCAAATTCAATAATGAAAAGCCAGATGTGGGAAATTAATTCTCGGCTGTGCCACAGTGGGAGAAAAGATATGACACTATTCCAAGGTCAGTACATTGTCAGTCTACAAAAGTAAAAAAGAATGGCTACTTCAGGATCTATAATAAAAATTCGCCCATAGGTTTATGTATTTGGAAAATGTCACATCTCATAAGCTCTTGGAAAAAGAAGGGGGATAGAATATTTTGCATAGATTCCATGGAAAAATCAGACATTTAAAAGATAGCATAACCTGGTGCTGTGTTGTTAGCAATGGCTACATCCTACCTAAAACCCACACCAATTCTCAGAGAAGCTCATAGTATGCCTTATCTGGGTATGTATGTGAAAACCATTGTTTTTTAACATATACTGCCACTAGGGATGGAGCAGTCAATTGATCACCTTTTATTTGACCATTATTGACTGCTCTTTTTTTTATTCAGTGAATTAAGAAATTTTCATAGAGCTCATAACTGCAGTCATTTATGCTCCAGCACTTAGGCTTAAACTGAAGAGTCAGTTCCATTTTAAAATTATATTCATGTAGCCTGCCAAACATCTAGACCCATTTTCATACCCATTGGATATGGAAAAATTGCAAATGGTCAAACTGCCATGACCTCTCATCTGAGTGGTATAGAGTGTGTGTACAGGCATAGTCTGCTGTTCAAGGTCTTACTGCCTTAATGAATTTGAAAGTTAAGGTTCCAGATCTAAGTTTTAGCTTTAGAACTTTATTTTTATGCAAGGTCTATCATGGTCTTGGCCAATAGACTGCATCAGAGCATCAAATTATTCTCAGAGTTGGTGATCAAGGGACAAGTAAACTTACTTGAATTATGCTTAGGTCTGTACCTAAAAAAATTAATCTAGCTATGAAGAACTTCCTAAGGCAAGGCAGAGGCTTTTTTTCTGACAGGATCAGGAATAAATACTTATACCAGAACACAAGAAACTCCAGTTCTGAACAATGTGTTACATTCCTCATTATTCAGAGTACTTATGGAGCTAACTAGTCACAGAATTTACCTCTGAAACATGACTGCTAACTGTTTAA